TCTCTACGCCTGGACGGATCATACCCGGATCGTGGAATGGATTACGCATCCCTGCTGCGGCGTCACAATTTTTCTGCACTAGACGTAAGAAGAGATGACCAGTGCATCAAGTTTTTGCAGAAGTTAGTGCAAGGTGAATTGGATTGTGGTTGGTTGTTGTCGCGGATCATTTTCGCGGTGCCTACGCGTGCAACACGTAGTACAAATCAGTTTTATTTGAGGAATTGCAGATCCAATGTTTTAGCCAACTCCCCGGTGCAGAGGATGTGTAAACTAACTAACAATCAATAATAGTGTAAGAGTGTTTATGTGAATTATATTTGTTTTATGGCATGTGTTATTTCTTATTTTCTTTTTCTTGTAATATTGTCCTGTAATTGATCTTTGTTGGGCAATAAAGTGAATTATTATTATTATTATTAAGCTGTCAGCAGTCTTCTGCAAGCAGCATCTACTTTTATATTGGCAGAATACAGCCTTCCATTAACAGTATCTAGTCACTACCAGCAATATTTACAAACTTTGCTAACTATAAGCAGTCTTCTGCAAGCAGTAGCTACTCTTATATTGGCAGAATACAGCCATTAATTCCATTAACAGTGTCAAGTCACAGCCAAATATATCTTGTTGTTAGTCAGTCTTACATTCGCAGTCTTTAGTCTTTGCCAGCAGTATTGAGTCTTCTGCAAGCTGTATCTCTTATATAGGCAGGATATAGCCTTCAATTAAATGTCTTGTCACTGCCTGCAATATTTAGTTCTCTGCAAATTGTAAGCAGTATCCAGTAATATATTGATAATATCCAGTCGTCCATTCCTAGTCTCTGCCAGCAGTATTTAGTCTTTTGTGAACAGTAACCAGTATCACAGGCTTATATTAACAGAATACAGCATTAAAGAAAGCAGCCTTTCATTACCAGTTTAAACTCCTGGCTAGCACCTTTATCCTCTTTAGAATGCCTTCCCATATAACTAATTACTTAATAAATTTGTAAAATTATGCGTTTTTAGCAACTTTACCATCTTCATCAGAAGTAACATGGCGTGTATCAGCAGATGACGTCAGCAATTTAAAACAAGGATTGGTATCAATTTTCACAGACAGTTTCAGCAATCAATTGGTAGAAACAGCAGATGTAAGTTAATTATTTCTTTGATAATATGATTTTTCAAAATAATACTTTTTTATTTTAACTAGGAGAACGCAAAATCAGATAGAGGACTAGTGGAAGCACTCCTAAGAAAAATAAAACGCCTAATACAATTTGTACCCGTTAAATGATAACAAGAATACATTTATTTTTACACGTTTGTATACAATTTCTTAAAAAATAGTATTGTTAACACTTTTTTCTATGAATAAATAAGATCATTAATATGCGCTGCGTTATCTATTATTGCCTCGTCCCATGGACCGTAAATGTTTCTTTTATAATTTTGGTATTTCGTAAATAACATTGGGCATATTAAACAAATAAATATCAAAACGAATGTGTATAAAACTAAACAAACCGTACATATATTAAATAAAACTAATATTATTCCTAAAATTAATAAAGGGGTTATTTTGTAAGTTGAGTAACTCTTGCGCAAAATCGGAGATAATATAAAGCATTCAATAGCGATAGTAATAAGAACTAAGGAGTGGTAAGATGATTGTAATCGTGAAGCTAAACATATCGAGGCGAACATTGCGGCGCTTATCGATAAACTATTAGAAACGATTGCTGCAGCTACTCCATAATCGAAAAATATTAAATGAATAAGCATCATATAAAAAGTACTTGTGTAAATCGTATCTGTACTTATTGTAACGGTTAACGTGTATAAAACGGGTGAAAAGAAATAAGCAAATATAAAAAAGATTATGAATGTTCTAATGCTTGTAAAGGCACTTCGGAATGTTTCTGGTTTTATCGCTTTCCTATACAAAACAAATCCCAATAAAATCGTTGCTATTGCCGTTAATAATACCGTATTTGCCGGTAACCAATTATTATATAAAAACACGTAAATCAATACAAAACTGACCACTATCGAAAGTTCTTGTATCAAATAACTTGCTCCTAATAAACAATCTTTTAAAGCGATTTCTTGTGAATTTACATTTTTGCGTAAATCTTTTAAAAAGGTTTTATCGGTATAATTATCGGAAAATCCTTGATTTTCATATAAAATTTTTTTCCATTTTACCATTTTGACGTTTACTTTAGGTTATGTTTACATTTAACATTAATAATTGTGACCACTAGATGGCGCTAAATTTAATAAATTTTTAAAAATTATTTATTTAATAGTTATTTATTGTGTAAGTGTTTTAGACAGTATTTTATTCAAGCAGGAATTAGAAAATTTGTGTTTTATCCACAATCACACTCATTTAAGTATCAGAATCGCCAAAATTTGACCACTATCGAAAGTTCTTGTATCGAATAACTTGCTCCTAATAAACAATCTTTTAAAGCGATTTCTTGTGAATTTACATTTTTGCGTAAATCTTTTAAAAAGGTTTTATCGGTATAATTATCGGAAAATCCTTGATTTTCATATAAAATTTTTTTCCATTTTACCATTTTGACGTTTACTTTAGGTTATGTTTACATTTAACATTAATAATTGTGACCACTAGATGGCGCTAAATTTAATAAATTTTTAAAAATTATTTATTTAATAGTTATTTATTGTGTAAGTGTTTTAGACAGTATTTTATTCACGCAGGAATTAGAAAATTTGTGTTTTATCCACAATCACACTCATTTAAGTATCAGAATCGCCAAAATTTGACCACTATCGAAAGTTCTTGTATCAAATAACTTGCTCCTAATAAACAATCTTTTAAAGCGATTTCTTGTGAATTTACATTTTTCCGTAAGTCTTTTAAAAAGGTTTTATCGGTATAATTATCGGAAAATCCTTGATTTTCATATAAAATTTTTTTCTATTTTACTATTTTGACGTTTATTTTTAGGTTATGTTTACATTTAACATTAATAATTATGACCACCAGATGGCGCTAAATTTAATACTTTTTAAAAATTATTTATTTATTAGTTATTTATTGTGTAAGTGTTTTGGACAGCATTTTATTCTTGTAAGAATTTGAAAATTAGAAAATTTGTGTTTTATCCATAATAACACTCATTTAGCATCAGAATCGCCAACATTTCATCTGATGTTATTAAAAAATGATTTGACATTTCACTCTGACAGCAGCTGTCACCTCAAAAATCATTGCAATTAACTAAAAAAGAGGTATTAAATTGTTGCTATTTATTTTCGATTGTTTATCGACACCATTTGTAACATATTTGTAAAAGTGTGAAAGTTGTAAACGTTGTAAAGGTAAAATTGGTGAAAAATGAAAGAAAGTAATATGACAAATCAAAGAATGAAATGTCTATTAATATAAATGTTAATGTTAATATAAATAATAAATAGGATGTGATTGATTTAAGATTGTATTTTTCATTATTCCACTAGTGGAATAATAGTTATTTATTATGTAAATGTTTTAGACAGCATTTTATTCACGCAAAAATGTTTAATTTTCTTAAATGAATAAAATGCATCTAAAACATGCATGCAATACAACGTTTTATCCACAATCACACTCATTTAGCATCAGAATCGCCAAAATTTCATCTGATGTTATTAAAAAATGATTTGACATTTCACTCTGACAGCGGCTGTCACCTCAAAAATCATTGCAATTAACTAAAAAAAACATTGGGAGGTGTTGAATTACAAGCTGGTTATTAACCCTTCGTCTGTAAACGGTTTTTTGTAATTCGCGACGGTAATGAAAGCTATAACAGTACTCAAACGGGTGCTGTAATGAGATTTTAGTAACATTTTATGGAAGCAGTTCAAGTTGGTAACATTGGGTCATTAATTTTTCTAGTTGTCAATGTGACAATGTTTGTCTATGGATGTTTAAACACGTTCTTAGCATCGAATACAAGGTCCACAATGATGAGGACATTGAACTCTGAGTAATTTCTCTTATTTTGGAAGGTGTACATGAAACATTTTTTCAACTTAAATTCGTGCATTTCAAACGTGTCTTACGAAACTTGTTTTTTAATATACTATTATTCCACTAGTGGATGAAGTGGTACACTTTTCATAAGTGTGGGTAAAACTTCAATTATAAGGTGATAGTGGATAAATAAAATTATGTTTAATTTCCCAAATAAAACAAATAATTGAAATTGCAATTCCTACTGCCCAAATAATAAAAGCCCCTTCGACGTGATTAAACGTTAAAGGTGTAATCACCGGTTTTGGTGATTGAACAGAAAATCTTACGATAGTTTGAATTGTAGTGCTTGAATATTTTGATATAGCCTAAAAATAAGATATTTTATGTTAATATTTGAATTATTTTAATTATTAACTTACCAAATCCTCCCAATATTCAACTAATCCAGCTTGAGATACTTCAAGAACCACTTTATTAATTAGTGGTAAAAGAATTGATCCTTTTCTGGTGTACATCACAATGTAATCGTTAAAAAGATTCTCGTCCATCAATCTTCGTCGTTTAACACCATCCTCAGTGATGTAATCACCCAGAGCATAATTTCCTTCTTGTAAACGCTCAATAGCGTATCCAAATTCCTCTGAATTTAATCTTGTTAAATTATCAACGTCGGCAATAACAAAACTTTTAACAATTTGTTGATAAATCGGCTAAAATTGACTTAAATTAGCAAAAAATGAATTAATTAAACATTTTTTTATTTACATTATCTGAGTCTGAAATAGAAGCAATCCAAACAATAGAAGTTGCACCCCAATGAATTCCCCGTTCAGCGAGATCTTTTAAAGTTCTTATTGTTCCTCTATATTTCGGAACCGTCATGGTGCTTGCTAAACCGCTGGTATAAATTGTAGCCATAACCAAGCTAAGAATCATCGCTAACGCGTATACGATTCTTGAATAAAACTCGAGGGGAAGTTTTGAAACGGGTTTTCCCAAAAATAAGGCTTCTGTTTCTAATAATGTAATAATAGCGGTTTCTTTTACAGGTTGAGTTTCTTTTCTGTTTATCAAAAAGATTTTGTTAGTTGAAAGTTTGTTTTTAATTTGATGTCTTACGTAATAAACGTATGAAAGGTGCTGACGAATAAAATGGCTAAGAAACAGAATATAATTGAGATTATTGATGCGACCCACATTGAAATTGAAAATGAGAGGAATGGAGTGAACCATCCTCCTAGTAGCCTAAAATTAAATTGAATGTTTTATATTAGTAGTTTAGATTAGTGATGGAACGGATAGTTATTTTGCGAAAATTCGGATTATTTCGATTATTTCAAAAATTTATTTCTCAAGAACAAAAAACGATTTTTCAAAACGGCTTTTTGCATTAAAAAGAGAATTTTAAGAACTTTAATTAATAATTGGTGATATTTCCAAAAGGATCCTTCAACAAATTAATTTTATAGCGAATTTTGCAAGTCATCGATGAAATTTGCAACATTGAAAATTTTATCAAAACTTCAAATGTTGTTTTCTCAAAAACTAATAGTTATTTCTCAAAACCTGTCGGTTCATTGGAAAGGGGACACTCTTATTAACACTTTAGGAATTTTTCATACTCATATTCCAAGAAATGGATTTTATGCGAATTTTTAAAACATAATCTGCGAAAATTGCAAAATTCGAAAAAATTGTCGATCACTTCAAAAATTTATTTCTCAAAAACTAAAAGCGATTTTTCAAAACGGCTTGTTACATTAAAAAGAGGACACTTTAATTAATGATAGGTGATATTTCCAAAAGGATCCTTCAAGAAATTAATTCTATAGCGAATTTTGAAAATTATTGGTTAAAATTGTAACATCGTAAATTTTATTAAAACTTCAAATATTGTTTTCTCAAAAACTAAAAGCTATTTTTTAAAACGGGTTGGTTCATTGGAAAGACGACACTTTTGTTAACACTTTGGAAAATTTTCATACTCATATTCCAAGAAATAGATTTTATACGAATTTTTAAAACTTAATCGTCGAAAATTGCAAAATCGAAAAATATGTCGATTATTTCAAAAATTTATTTCTCAAGAACAAAAAGTGATTTTTCAAAACGGCTTTTTGTATTAAAAAGAGGATACTTTAATTAATAATAGGTGATATTTCCAAAAGGATCCTTCAACAAATTAATTTTATAGCAAATTTTGCAAGTTATCGATGAAAATTGTAACATCGAAAATTTTATCAAAACTTCAAATATTGTTTTCTCAAAAACTAAAAGTTATTTTTAAAAACGGGTTGGTTCATTGGAAAGAGCACACTTTTGTTAACATTTTGGGAAATTTTCATGCTCATATTCCAAGAAATGGATTTTATATAAATTTTTAAAACTTAATGGTCGAAAATTGCAAAATTCGAAACAATTCTCGATTATTTCAAAAATTTATTTCTCAAGAACTAAAAGTGATTTTTTAAAACGGCTTTTTGCATTAAAAAGAAGACACTTTAATTAATAATTGGTGATATTTCCACAAGGATCCTTCAAGAAATTAATTTTATAGCGAATTTTGCAAGTTACCGAAGAATATTGTAACATCAAAAATTTTACCAAAACTTCAAATATTGTTTTCTCAAAAACTAAAAGTTATTTTTCAAAACGGGTTGGTTCATTGGAAAGAGGACACTTTTGTTAACACTTTGGGAAATTTTCATACTCATATTCCAAGAAATGGATTTTATAC